TTATTTGGATTTGTACAAAAAAAATTAAAATTAAAATACGAAATAAGGTCATGACCGTCAGATCGGCTCAGATTCAATCTGGGCCATTGGGCTCATTGTTCATATGAGCTAATGGGCTAATCTCAGCATTTCTATATATATATATATATATATATATATGTATATGGGGTGCTTCCAGGTTGCACATTGAGCAGTTGTCCCAAGCCCTCCAAAAGTAGGGAACTTCAGCCAAGGATCGATCCCAGGCTCCCGCACCCACACTTGCTCCTACTACTAACAACTATGGGCTTAATGACTTGAGTGACCTTTCTCCGTAAAAGATATCCCAGGGCTGTGGCTGACCTGAGCCAAGATGAAGCCCCAAATCTCGATGGTTTTTCCTTGGCTCTGTTCGATATCTTATGGGACACCCTTGCCCCATACGTCCTTGCTTTGTTTGCACAATTCTACCATAAATGAATAGAGGTCTCAAATTTACATTCATTGCCTTAGGTCTCAAATTTACATTCATTGCCTTAGTCCCTGAGCTAGAAAGGGCTGAGGAACTCAAAAGACTTGGACCAGTATCCTGCTTAATAGTTCCTGTAATATCAAGATCCAAGGCTCTTACCGATTGAGACAAGCCTTGCACCAACGCATGGGGCGTTTGCAAAGGGTTCGACTTATACTGGATGGTGCTTTAATAGCACATGAACACATCCATACAAGACTGGGAAAAAGCATAAGACCATATGGACTGGTCTATCCTAGATCAGGTTTCTCATTCACATGGGCTTTGGAGAAAATGGTTGTCATGGATTAGTGGGTGCATTACCTCTCCTTGGTTTTTTGTAATGGTTCCCCCATAGGCTTTTTTCCCGCCAAGAGAGGTCTCAGACAAGGAGACTGCCTCCTTCCTTTCCTACTCGTCATAATGGGAAGGTTTTCAGCGAGTCATTGGCAAATCTATATGAGTATAACCTACTCCATGGTTTTAAATCCTCTAAACGGATTCAATAGTGTGTCATCTTCAATATGCAGATTACACTTATTTCTTTTGTGATGCAACCTTGTCCTAAGTCGACAACCTGTGACCATTCCTTTGATTGTTTGAGCTTTTTACGGGCTTTAAGGTAAATTTGGCAAAAACAAAGCTTTATGGTATATGTCTGTCCCTAGAGGACACTTCAATGATGGCACATACTTTGCTGCAGCATAGACGTCATACGAAGCAAAAACTTGGGACTCCCACTCTGCATAGGGAAGCCTCCCAATATCCTGTGGGGTCCTATTGTAGAGTGCTTTGAAAGAAAACTGGCGGCCTGGAATGCTGTTGTGACTGGATGTTAGAATTACCTTCATCATGGCTACTTTGGCAAATATGCCTGTCTTTCAAAAGGTGTTATTTAGAATGCCTATCTCGATTGTCAACTGCCTAGAAGCTCTTCAACCGCCTAGAGTCTCTCATGTGTTGCTTCGTTTGGTCTGGGACTGGTGACTCCCATAAGTTCTACCTAATGAAGTGGTGAGAGGGAGTATGCTTACCATAAAAGAATGGTGGGCTGGGACTTCGGAAACTCAGAACCTGTAGTATTTCCCTCCTTGGTCAATGGTGGTGGAGGTTAGCAAATGAAAATGAAGCCCGCAGCAGTTCCTCTTTCACAAATATGGAAAGGGCAATTTGGGATAGCGCCAAAATGCGCAGCCAATGCTACTGCCTCTGGGGCCTCAAATGGCTGTCTTCTTGGCTTATCGGGACTTCATATGCAATAATCAATTTGGGCTCAAGTCGGGCGAGAGGATCAGGATATGGAAAGACCTGTGGATTTGGGAATCAACCTTGATGTCCTGCTTTCTGAGGCTCATCTCAATTGCTATTAGGGAATCAACCTTGATGTCCTGCTTTCTGAGGCTCATCTCAATTGCTATTAGGGAATCAACCTTGATGTCCTGCTTTCTGAGGCTCATCTCAATTGCTAGCACCAAGATGCTCTGTTTTCTCAGTCCTCAGAGTTTACTGCAGGCCGCCTAATCTGGTTCCCAAGGCTCAGACATAACCTCTTGGACCTCACAGGCTTGTTAGATCTTCTTTTGGTCCATTACGTTCCGGGATAAGCCTGCACCAAATGATCAGGCCCTGGCAGCATCAGGTTGCTCCACAGTGTCCTCATTCTATAGGATGTGTAAAACCTCCACCAACTCCCCCCAAGATCCAGGCTTTTATTCGGTTGGTCCTCTCCAAGAAAATCCAAAATTCCTGACAGGGAACCACTTGCAGTGGGGGCTTTAGTTCTCAAATAGATGTGTAATGTGTTTGAAGTTGAGGTGTCAATAGATCATCTCCTCCTCCACTGCCAAATTAGCTATAAGATCTAGATGACCATATTACAATGTTTTGAATGGACCTGGATGTGTCCAAGTCAATTGACTTCATGTTCTCGGTCTGTTTCTCATCCCCATACATTGCCACGGGGCTTCTCCCATGGAGAACCATGTTCTTCGCAATCCTACGGGCTCTCTGGCTTGAGCACGATGTGAGGATGTTCCAGGGCAATGCTACGACCTTAGATAGTAAATAGGACTGTATCTTGGCTCTGATCATTTCTAGACTCGGATGCTCAATGATTTTCAGGCATGTTTCGCTTGTATTACTGGAAAAACATTCTACAGTTCAGTCCCATGGTGCAGGCAAGATGAAGCTTGTGGATCCTACCTCCAGGTGGCCACCATCAAGTTGAGCTTCAATTGCTGCTCCCTGGGTAGCCCAGTACCAGCAAGTGTCAAGTTTTATATTTAGGAATTGCTCGGGCAACCATGTGTTGACCTAATCTGGGACGATAGTTGTGAGCAACTCTATGATGGCTGTAGCCCAATCCCTGATGTCAGGTCTAAAACTGTTTGACGCATCATGGGGCCCCAACCTTATAATGGAGGGTGAATTACAAAATGTGTTTGTGTGGGCTTCCAGGGGGGCCTTCTGCTCATAGAGTTTGGACCCCATTTTTGACTAATTATTTACAAGTGGTTTCAAACACTAATGGAGAGTGGCAATGCGGTTGCTGTGCAACAGAATCTCATTGTGGCTTCTCCAAATCAGTGAAAATGTTGACCTACCCCCCCCCCCCCCTCCCCCTGCTCCTTTCTTTCTCTTTCTCCCTCTCCAGCACTTGCCAATCTCTCTTTAACTCTTTCTATCTGCCCTATCTTCCATTTAACCTCAACGATGTATGAACTGTGAAAACCCCTTGCGGCAGCCATGGTTTGAGCCCCAAGCAGATCTTGTACTTTGTACCTTATATTTTTACAATGATGTCAACTTGTCTTCAATAAAAAAATGGAAAGACAGGGTTACGAGAAAAATGAATGTGATCTGTAATTTGTGAAACTATACACATTTGACATTTACGGAGTGCCATTCGGAACTATAGCACGGTGGCATTCTCCTCTCAAAATGGGATCCTTCTGTATTGCATTAATTTTTTTTGGACGTGTTTAAGTAGTTTCGCCAACTAAAATGTTGCAAAGAACCAGGACTATCATATCATCATCATCATCAAAGCCTTTTTTCCAATTATTTAGGGTTGGCTAGAACCAGAACTATCATATGTACTCTGTAATTCATGAAAATATAGATAATTTTGACATTAAGTTTTCTTTTTTCTTTTTTTTTATTGGATCGGTAACAGACATATGGATAATGTTTCAGGGGTTTTTTTCATGGCTATTCTCTTATCACGACTTGCATGATTCTGAATCATGCCCTCAGGTTCTCTCTCTCTCTCTCTCTCTCTCTCTCTCTCTCTCT